CCCCAAAACCCCAAAACCCCAAAACCCCAAAACCCCAAAACCCCGAATGTGTTCAATGCAGTTGACTCAAGTTTATTTTATGAGGGATTTTGGTTATCTTCTCAGTCTGGTTTGTATTGAGGCAGGCTTACTTTCTTCGGTAAGAGGCAGGTTTAGTTTAGCGTGAATTTCCTTTTTGGTGGTTGATGGGCTTGGAGTGGTTGAGTTTACGGAGATTGAAGAGGTGGTGGTTGGGGCTGGGGTAGGGGTGGTTGGTTCAGGAGGGGAGGCTGTGGTGGTAGATGAAGTGGATTCTCTGATGTAGGGTCTAACTGGTCTTCTGGTGTCGATTGCTGGTCCGTAGGGAGTTCTAGGAGTTCTTCTGGGGGTGAATGAGTTGTAAGGGAAGAGAGAAGGTTGTTGAGCCTTTTCTGGAGTGAGAGTCTCTGGTTTTGTTTCAGTGACTTCTTCGATTTTAGCGGGTTCTTCTATTATTTCTGAGACTGATGGAGTAATTGTTGGCTCTTCGGTAATCTTTGTGATTACTGGAGTCCTAGCTTCAGAAATTTCAATTTTTCTTGCAATAACAGGAATAGGAGCAGGCTCTGTAATTACCACTTCTTGTTTTTCAACCATTTCTGGAGTTACAGGCTTAATGATTTGCTGAGGAATTCTAATAGGTGAGAAATTAATTCTCCTCGCGATCACTGGAATGTCTTCTGGCTCTGGCTTAGCGATCTCTACTTTTTCAACTATCTCTGGGGTTACAATAGACTCTGTAACTCTGACTTTAGGTTCTTCAACCAACCTTGACACAACTGGAGTTTCCAATTTTGGAAGTCTAATATCCCCGATTTTGATTCTCCTTGGGATAATACAATTAATACCATTTCAAAGGGTTTTTAGATTAGAATATTCTATTTCAGATTGATTCTGGCCAACCCGAATATCAGAGGTTTCATATTGTTCAGTTCTGCCTGAACTTTCAGATTTTTCAATAACAATAATTTCAGGTGTATTCTATAGGAAATTTGATAAGAACATTTAAAACCTTGGCTGAGGAAGTTTAAAATTTTAGGGAGATTCTTGGTTTAAAAATTGGATGAAAATATTCCACTTAGATTCTCTTTGGATAGCAAACATTAGCAAGCAAAGATTAAATAGGAAATTAAGATTAAAGCACTTGAGTTCTGCTAACAAAGCTAAATTAAACAAAAGTACGATTTTCTTCAGAAATTGGCCTAAAGTCGACTATGGAAGGATGGTATTTCGAGCAGTAATAGCCTTAGATATGGTGAGATGATAATTGGTGAATAAAATCTTACTTCAGATGCCACTATTGGCTGTGAGGTAATCACTTCTGTTTCTATTTTACTCTCTGATGGAATCTCGACAAAAGGTCTAACTTCTTCTATAATTGGTTCAGAAATAGAAGGTCTGGTGTATGGCCTAGTTTGGCTGTTTAATGGAGCATGGCGTCTATGAATTCCTTGGCTTGAGAATCTGTCTCTAAATAGTGGTGGAATTTGGTTGAATCTTGGATTTTCAATCACTGGTTCCTCAAAAGATGTAGTAATAACTTCTGGCTCTCTAACTGGTACAATTCCAATTGATTCTTGAGCAATCCTAATTGGCTGAATTTCAGGAACTCTTGGAATAACAAAGCTTCTCTTTGTAAGTGGTTCGTACTCAATTTCGTTCTCTACTTTTTCTGAAACAATCTCTTGAGTATTTTCATTATTGTTTTCTACAGACTTAACTCCAGTTGCAGCTTGTTTTTGAGGAATTTCCTTGAAAAATTCTTCAAAGACAGAAGGCTTCAACGAGAATGAATGCTTAATTAGTTGTGGTTCTTCTGATTCAGTAACCATAGCTTTTCTAGAAGTATATCTTGGGAAAACTGGAGGAGGAAGAATCACAGTCTCTTCTACATGCTGATTAATCTCTTCCTCTACAAAATCAACTGGCTCATAAAAGACTGATGGAGTCTTAGTGACCTCTAAAGTACTTGGTCTAAAGAATGGAGATCTTGGTCTTCTTGGAATAAGTCCTGGTCTTCTTAACAACTGAGGCTCAGAAATTAATTCAGGAACTTCTCTAGGAAGATATATTTCTTTGACAACATCTTCAGTTTGCACACTTTCTTGAGGGTTAGTTCTTTCAATTTTAACTTCCTCGACAACTTTAGGAGAGTATCTTGGAAAAACTGGAGGTGGTAGAATGATCTTCTCTTCAGCTGTCTCTTCTTTTAAGAAATCGATTGGCTTAAATGATACTTCTGGGGATTCAACTACAATAGGCTCTTCCTCGAAAGTCTCAACAACTTCAGTTGAACCTGGCCTGAAGAATGAAGGTACAAGTCTTTTCACAATTTGAGATGGTCTTCTCAAAAATGATTGATCAACCCTCAATTCTGGAGCTTCTCTAGTCAAAACTTTCTCTTCTGCAACTGGGATTTTGTTTTCTTCTTTGTTCTCTTCAACAACTTTACGAGTATATCTTGGGAACACTGGTGCAGGAAGAATGACTCTTTCTTCAGAAGTTACTTCTTCATCGAATTCAATAGGCTCGTAGAACACTGAAGGAGTTTCAGCTGTTTCTAAAACTTCAACTGGACCATTTCTAAAGAATGGAGAGAGTGGTCTTCTTCCAATAAGTCCTGGTCTTCTGTGGAAAGGTGTCTCGATGATTTCTCTTACAACTAGGTTCTCTAATTGTTCTTCTCCAGCCTCTTTGGCTGCATCATTGTCTTTGATAACTTCTTCGCTCTTAGATGGGGACACATATCTTGGGAAAACAATTGGCTCCTCAATGATCTCTGGAGTTGGCTCTACAAGAGGGCAGATAGATACTGGAGCCGAAAAAATTCCGTGTTTAGATTCAACAACTTCTACTACGGGTTCAGTAACATTAAAAGTTGGCCTTGGCATGAAGAAAGGAGGCAATGAACCTCTGTGAGGTGGGAAGAGCCTCTCATGCATTGGAGGTGGTCTCTGAATAGTAGGTCTTTGAATAGTAGGTCTCTTGACTACAGGAGTTGGTCTTCTGAAGAAAGTTGGCTCATTTACAAATTCTGGGATTTCTCTTTGAACAAATTTAATTTTATTAGACTCCTGAGTCTGTGAGACATCTTTCACATTTTTGATTTCTTCTTTCTGGTCATTATTTAATACTTTTGTGTCATTCGCAAGAGAAACATATCTTGGGAATACAACCTCTTGTGTCTCATTTACTTCTACTACCTTCAAAGGAGATGTATATCTAGGGAAAATGATTTCTTCAACTTCTGGAGTTTCAACAATTCTTGATGAAGAAGTATATCTTGGGAAAACAATTTCTTGCACTTCAGGAGTTTCAATAATCCTTGATGGAGAAACATATCTTGGGAAAGCGACTGATTGATATTCTTTTCTATCTTTTAATTCATCAATTATAGTGACAGGAGCTGATCTGAAATCTTCTCTGATGAAACCATCCTTTTGCCTTCTTAATAAGTGGGATTGTCTTCTAAGCAAAGAAGGTTCTGGAATTATATCTTGAGCAATTCTGACAGGAGTAGTTTTATCTTTAACTAAACGAGATTCTACAACTGCTTCATTTCCAAAAGGCTCCAACTGAATTGGGCGTACATGAGATAAATCATGTCTAAGTTCGACAGGAGACACATGAGCTAACTCATGGTCTAATTTAACCGGAACTACATGAGATAAATCATGCTTTAATTCAACAGACTTCTTGACTGCATCAGTTTTAGGTTTCTCTGTGATTGTAACATTTGCTTTCTTGGCTGAGGCTACAACAGGTGTTTTAATTCCAACAGTCACATTCTTGGGAGCCTGAGTGGCATTAACAGCTGCTTTTTGAGCTGACTCTTTAGAATAGATTCTCTTTGGGTTTACAGTGTTCTTCACTTCTCCAGTCTTATTGAGCTTTGCCTGAATAACTTGAGGTTTTGGGACAGGCTTTGAGGCAACTACTTTCTTTTCAACAGGCTTTTGTTTTGGCTCAGATTTTGTCACAGCAACTGGTTTTGGTTTTGATTCAGGCTTAGGAAGAGTAGCTGACTTAGGACGAGAAGTAGGTTTTGGGCTAACAGTAGGTTTTGGAATAGCAGCTAATTTTGTGTTATTTTTCTTCGAGAAAGCAGGCGTGGTATTAATAGTTACCCTTGGTGCTGGTGTTTGTGGGAAGGATGGCTTTCTTTGGAGGAATTCAGGGAAAACTTTAGGAGTGATGCTGTAATTTTTCTTAATTTAAAGAAATGAGCTGATTATTTACCTTGGTTTTGGACTTGGAGTAACTACTTGGGGTCTTGGAGAAACCACAGCAGGTCTTGGAGCAGGTACTTCTAGCTTAGGAGTCACAATTGATGACTTAGGTTGTGAAACTTGTGGCTTTGGAGGAATTACTGCTGGTCTTGGAGGAGTCATTGGGGGTCTTGGAGGAGACATTGGGGGTCTTGGAGGAGACATTGGGGGTCTTGGAGGAGACATTGGGGGTCTTGGAGGAGACATTGGGGGTCTTGAAGGAGACATTGGGGATCTTGAGCCAACAACTGGAGGCCTTGATGAGAGGTCTAGTGGCTTCTGAGGAATAGGTTTAGGCTTTGGAGCAACTACTTGTAGTCTTGGAGGAGTAACCTTTGGCTTTGGAGGAGTCATCTTTGGCTTTGGAGGAGTAATCTTTGGCTTTGGAGGAGTAATCTTTGGCTTTGGAGGAGTAATCTTTGGCTTTGGAGTAGGGCTCTTTGGCTTTGGAATAGGGCTCTTTGACTGTGTGGTATTTTTGGGTGCCTTCGGTGAAATAACTTTTGGTTTTTCATCAGGAACTTGAGGCTTTGGAGTTGGTTTTATAGTGACAGGCTCAGGAACTCTTGGTCTTTCAATCCTTTGCTTAATCGGTTGAGTTGGTCTAACAGGTTGTGGTGCTGGCTGGACAACAGGACGATGAGCAGGTCCATGCACAACTGGTTCAGGCTTTTGTAAAACTCTCTTTGGAGGCTCTAAAGTAACTTTTTCTGGAGGATGAGGGATTGCTCATTTCGCTCTTTGGGATTTAGTCCATTCATCAGCAGGATTGCCTGTATTTATTGGTGTATATCCATCTCTCCACCATTGCTCTGGGATTTCGTAATCTTCTAGCTCTGAGATATATCCATCATTATCTCTCCAGTCGAGGGCTTGACAATCATTGTATCCATCTCTGTTATGGCAATGATGATGAACATACTTCTGTCTATCGTCTGGGTCAGCATGATTTGGAGATTCTTCTTGAGGCTTCTCTAAAACTTGTTGTCTTGGTCTTTCTTCAACTTGTTGATTTGGCTTCTGCTGAGCTGGATTTTGTGAGGGTGCTGAGACTCTGGGCTTGGGCTCTACTACCTTGATAGGCTGAGGAGAGACCGGTCTTTGTGAAACCCTATTTAAAAGATGAGCATTTAAGAACACAATTGTCAATTTAAATCAAATATACTTACTGTGCAGGCTGAGTTTGAGTATTGTTGAAGACTATAGTTGGATGTGGTTGAGGCCTAATCACTTTTGGAGGAATAACAGGAGGTGTTGGCTTTTCTCCAGGAGCAAGAGTCACTTGTGGTGAAGGAGTAGGCTTAGGAGCTACTTGTACTATTGGTTCTGATTGTGGGGTATTTTGGGTGTTTGGTTGTGTTTCACTGCTTGATTGAGTATCAACTTCTGGTTTAATTTGAGGTGCAGGCTTGACTTGAATATCGGGCTGTGGTGCTGGAGTAGGTTCTAAAATAATTACAGGTTCTGGCTCTGGTGTTGGTGACGGAATAGGCCCAACTTTGATGATTGGTTCTGGTTCCAATTCAGGAATTATAATCGGCTCAGGCTCTTCTTTTCTAATGATTGGTTTTGGAGGAAGTTCAAAACCTCTTGGAATATCAGAGTGGTCATTTGGATCTACATCTGTAGAGAAAATCTTCCCTGGTTCAGATATTCCTGGTGATCCTCCTTGGTAAGTTGATCCACCTGAAGGATCAGACAAATCATCAAGATCAAGAATAATAAGATCATCATCAAATCCTTCTGGAGCTGAAGCAAACTCAGGGGCTTCTATTACAATTGGTTCAGGAGCTATTTGAGGTAACTCTATAACATCAGGCTGTTCTATCACAGCAGGCTCTTCGATGGAAATAGGCTCTCCAATGACAGTAGACTCTTCGATCACAACAGGTTCTTCAATCACAATAGGCTCTCCAATGATAACAGGCTCCTCTATTACAACAGGTTCTTCAGTATCTATAGTCTCAGAGAAACTGACATCTTCAGGAGCAACTTCGCTGTTTCCTACTACCTCCTCATCAATTGAAGATTCGCTGAATGAGACAACATTTCCATTAGCATCAATTTCAGATTCTTGAGCTATGGCTGAGGAAGTAGATACATCAGCTGTATTTTCTTGGCTTCTAGACTCCTCAGTTTCAGCTGGGTTAACATTCAAAACTTGGATTATCTTATCGTGAGTCTCATGAGTAGGTGCTTCCTTTAATACTACTATTCCTCTCTTTGTAACAATAAGGAATGGCACAGTGGTTACATCATAAGATTCCTGAACCTCTCTCAGATTCTCATTGCTTACATCTATCTGGATCAAGGCAGTATCGTCAGAGATAGCCTTTTCAATTTCAGATACATGACTGTGGGAGGAATTAGACTCCTCTACTCCACTGAATATGTTCGTAACTGATGACATTACTCCTGAGAAGAATCCATTCCCTGTTTGTTCAGATAGAGTGCTATCAATGAACAGGAGAGCAACAGTATCGTTCTGATTGTCTTCCAAGAACTTTGTTACATCTTCAAAGCTTTGAGCGACTTCTATTTCTGCTCTGACTCAGAGTCAGAGCAAAGCAATTAACATGATAGTGGCAACACCCTTCATATTAGGATTAACCTCTTAATTCAAATTATATTTTAAATAAAGGGGTTTTGGGGTTTTGGGGTTTTGGGGTTTTGGGGTTGG